ACCCAATAATGGTGAGATGGAAAAGGAGACTGAGAGATGAATGCTCAGTGTCAGCTCAGATGCTGCCCTGTTTCTAGAAAATTTTAAGAACTCATTCCTTTGACTACAGCAGTGGTTCCCAACTGGGGGGTATTCTGTCCCCCCACCAGGGACCTGTGGAACTATCTGGGGGCATTGGTGGTTTCACAAATGGCAGAGGGTGCAGGGGGTAGTGCTGCTATTGGCATCCGGTGGGTAGAGCCCCAGGGATGCTGCTAAACATCCTCTAGTCCCACAGCAAAGGATGATGCAGCCCAAACTGTCAAGAGTGCCCAGTGGTTCTCAACCTTGGTTACATATCAAAAACACTTGTGTGTGTGTGTGTGTGGGGGGGGAGTGTTTAAAAAACTGATGGCAGGTAGGGCAATTAAGCCCATGCACCACAACTACTGAGCCTGCGCTCTACAGCCCACGAGCCACAACTACTGAGCCCGTGTGCCACAACTACTGAAGCCCACGCGCCTAGAGCCCATGCTCCATAACAAGAGAAGCCACCACAATGAGAAGCCCACGTACCGCCACGAAGAGTAGCCCCCGCTCGCCACAACTAGAGAAAGCCCGCACACAGCAATGAAGACCTAATGCAGCCAAAAAATAAATAAACAAACAAATTAAATCTTAAAAACAAACAAAAACAACCGATGGCAGGGTCCCACTCCAGAAAGAGGGAATCAGGATCTCTGAGGACAGACCTCAGGCCTCATGTTTTAAAAGCTCCCAAGCAATTCTAATGTGCAGCCAGGACCGAGACCCATGATATTGAACGAGGAGCACCCTGCACGCATCCAAAATGGGGCTGCCCCCTCCCCTCCCCGCCATAGCACCTACTCAGGGCTCTACTCAAACAGGCGCTCGATAAATCCTTGTTGCCTGGATGGGGGAGCAGATTAGTTGTCTATCATTAGGTGCCTACAAACTGCTGTGCTGGACTTGTACTGATTTTCAACATTCCATTGGTGGCTGATAGAAGCTTTTTTTAAGTCAATTATTCAGTACATCAAAAGGATACAACTTCCAGCAGTCAATCAGCAGCTACCAACATGCTTTCTGTTAGAATAATTACTTCTGAGAGTGAAAGGTACAGAAACAATCCGGACAATATATTCATGCCAAAGGAAGCTCACAAAATTAGCTTGCTATCTTTTTCGTCACTCTTCCTGGTCATATGAGTGACGAGTGACAAGCAATGAGAAGAATTAGAAATTGTATATTAAATGCAATTCTGGAAACTTCCATCACTATCACTCAAGGAGAAATGAGATCAGAAAATGAAAAACAAAACCCCAAAGCAGGGCAGGAAGGGCAGTCTATTATCAGGAAACCGCTAATGTGAACCAGATCTCCTAATAATCAGAATGATTTCATCAGTGACTTATTCGCATCTAATCAAGTTAGGGGAAGTTTTCACAAGTCTGGGTGGAAGCTATCAAGTGGGGAGAGATGAGCATGCAAGAGGTGTTTAGGGTTGAAATCTGCACCAGCCAACCAACCTGCCTGTCAGTTGTGGTATTACCGCCCATGGCGCCCTGGGGCTTGCTGAGCTTGGCACAGAACCTCCAGCCGGGTGTGCAGAAAGCCTGGGGCCTTTATCCAGAGCCATGGCTAATACTGGGAATGCAGTGGTCCACAGCAGAACCCCATCCCTGGATACTGGAGCCTAGTGATGGACTGGTGATGGAGACGCAGGCGAACATGGACCATTCAGTCCAGTGGAGGGGGCCACAGTAAGAGCCTTGCTGGGAGGGCAGGTGCTGAGGCCTCTGCAGGAGGGGTGCCAGTGCAGCCCTGGAAGCAGTGAGGAAGTGGGAGGAGGCGTCTCAGCTGCGCATAAGGAGGTGTTAGGGATGTGAAGGGCTTAGGGGAAGACTAGCCCTGATGAAAGAAACAGCATGGACAAAGGTCTGGAGGTAAGAGAGAACTGGGTGTGCTGGGGGCACCCCAAGAAGTCTGACACAGCTAGTGGTTCCTCAGAAGGTGGGCAGAGCGGGGGAGGTTGAGGCTGGAAAGGCAGCAAGGCCAGATCGTGAAGACACAATGTCCCGACTGTGGGGGGCACGCGTGGAGAGCTTCTTTCTGGTGGAAAAAAGGGAGGGATCCTAAAGAGGGAAGTCACAGGGTCAGAGGAAGACACTGGGATTGGCGTCAGACAGACCCTGCGTTCCCGCGCCAACGCCACCATGTTCTGCGTGACCTTGGGCAAGGGACTAATCTGTAATCGGGGAATAAGGAGAACACCTCCTTGCCAAGGTTGTTACGAGGATGAGGGAGATATTGGGCCGGCCAAAACGTTCGTTCGGTTTTAAGTAAAAAATAAGGACATTTTTCATTTTCACCAAAAACTTTAATGTAGTCAGGGACCGAATGAACTTTTCGGCCAACCCAATATATGCGGGGCTGGGGGTATAGGTGAAAGAATGGTTGCGTTGCCACTGGGAAAGGACTCCAGTGGATGCAGAAGGAATAAGTACAAAAAAGGGAAAGAGGGGAGAGAGATGG